AAAGAAAAGTGCCTAGTACCTGTGGTCAGATGTTGCGATTGGTGCTGCAGGCCCTGTACTGTCTCCCTCATGGCGTTCAGTTAACTTCTCTCTGCAGGTTCCCTCCTGTCAGGAGCATGTACTCAAAGGAAAAAGGGAAGGTTTTTTAAATGTCTGTGTCCTTAGCTCTATATAACGGCAGTATTGATTTGTTGGAAAGCAAGGCGACAGAAATGAAAAAGAGCCACATATCTTTCCTCTTCTCTATCCCAAGGCATAGCAAGTGCCAAGAGCCTCTGGAAGGATATAGCCAGTGATGTACAGAAATCCTTCTGTCTGTAATTACCACAGTCATTCTATTCTGAAATGTACCAGTTTGTTCATGAACTGGGCATTTGAGCATGTAATAGGAAGACAGTTATCACGCAATGCTGGGGTCGGGCAACAGAGGGCAGCAGAGAGACTGCTCTTGCAGTCAGCCAAGTATCACTGTGAGCCGTCTCCCTGCTGGGCAAACTGTTTTGCAGAACAGAAGACTGCTTCAATTACGTTGCCTATACCATCACACATAAGCCCTTCCTGCCAGTCCCCATGCTGGGACTTACTGTATCAGCCTTCCTTTCTCTGGAACTTGCATCACGTTCCACTATTATCACTCTATATCCATCTCTGTGGAGCTGAGGGGTCAAGACAAGCGTCACTAAGGTGACAGAATCTCATTTGTGCTTTTCTTCACAGATGTCAGTACCTTCCAACGACTTCATAACCCAAAACACCCAGCAGGCATCGCACACTGCTGAAGGAGTAGCTTCTGGCTGCTGTTTATTCTGCTGCGCGGCTGCAGTTGTCTCTGAAACCTTCAGTGCCTGTTGTGGCTGCTGAGGGAAAGACCGGCTTTCCCACTTTTTCTGGAGCGGGATATCTCGTTCCCGAAATTTGTTCGTTAACGTTACTGTATCTGTCTTGTGATCCGTCTGATCATGCACAATTCCCTTATACAGGCCTACAAAAGCATGCTCCCCTCAACGTGGCTATTGGCAATAATTTTACCCCAGAACTCCAAACGGTCTGATTCGCGGTGGGGCAGGTCACACGTCGCGCGTCACACACGCTTTGCAGCCTGGATACACATTTTCCGTGTGGGCCGGTCTTGCCTGTTTGTGGTCAGGAAACTGTACGGGTAAGAAACCCCACTGTCCTATTCTGCCTCAGGGGGGGCAATCATCCTTCACCGCTGGGGGGCCGCCGAGCTCCTCGCTTGACTGAACCCCACCCGACGAGCTGACCGAGGCCTCATTTATCATTCCGCCCAGGCATTTGCACACAGCGTGCGTCGGCTGCCTGGCGTCAAGACCTGTGGGACGATTTCCTTAAAAAAACGGCAAACGGCAAGGAAACTATAGCAGACACACGTTTCAATATTTGCACGCGGTAGGCTTGGGCTTGTTTCCCGAGACGTGTTGTCCGTGGCTCTGCTGGCTTACCGGCCGCCTGCTTGAGGACAGTGTCCAGACTGTATTTGAAGAAGGATCTGAGCGAGCCGCTGTGCTCTTCCTGCGTGCGTCGTGGCGGGGTCTGTGCAACGTCTCGGCCACCGTGTGGAGGTGATCTCCAGTCTTGCTGCATGAAATTCCACTTAAAGACGTTTTTACCCTGTTTTATAAAGTATAATGAAACCACATAGAGTACAGAAAGGCTTTGCTATAGTTCAGGTGGGGAGCTGCGCCAGCATGCGTAGGCTACAAAGGAACAAGTAATAGTAATCACACCTGAAGAAGGCTCCATGGCTGAAACATTGTGGTTTCTTTCTTAGCTTTTCATCATGGAATACATTTCAATTCAATTTATTTGTATATAGCGCCTTTCACAACACGATTGGCCTAATGTGCTATTACTTGTTCCAAGACTTTCCTATGTTTTTTTCAGATGATGTTGAATCAATTTGTTCAGAAGTGCTGGTACAAAAACACATATTTTGTCAACCCTATGAAAATGCAGTTTTAATTTTCTCTTCTTTGTCTGGTCAAAAACAACGTTATTTGAAATGAATGAGAAATGCCACCTAATTTTATTTTTTCAGCATTTTGCACAACATGTTCCTCAATTTAATACTGAACCGAATCTGTTTAAACAAAATAATCAAATCAGATCCTTTTACAGTATATTGTCTGAAGGAGAGCGCATGAGCTTAGATATCAGCTACATTTCCTTTTTTATTTAAAAATATCAATATCTTGAGGTTGAATCTCAACAAAAATTCAGAAAGTTATATGGTTTACTCAAGTTGTAATGTGAAATTTCAACATATTCAGCCCTCTCTCTTCTCAAAAATAGTGCCATATGAAAGATAATCCATTGTCAGTCTGCAAGGTATGTTTTACCTTGCTTTTGTCACAAGTCCATCATTTGCTTTGCGATGGCTTGGTTAATCTCACACTTCACTCTTCCTCCCTGTGTCTCACAATGCATGGATTGCGATTTCACTGTGCTTTACTACACTTCACTGTGCCTTTACCAAGGTACCTTTGGTGCTTCTCTACCACCCCAACACACTTTCTATCCCCAGGACTATTAACGACAACTTTTCCATCCTACAGGATGATCCCTGCAATGGGGCCCTCTTTTCTGACCACCCCATCATCTCATATCACCGACCACTTAATCTGCGCAACCTTCTTGTTCACAGCTCCCTTGACCACCCCCAACAACCAACCACACCAGGTACTTTCCCCTGCAGCAGAGCTCGCTGTATCACCTGCAAGTACACATCTAACACCACACTCATTCAAGGCCCCTCAGAACAATTCCGGATCACCCAGATGGCATCTTGTACCTCCAGCAACCTTATTTGCTGTATCTCTTGCCGTAAATGCCCAGCCATCTATATTGGAGAAACAGGAAGGAGACTTGGAGCCCGCTTCAGAGAACATGTTAGGGCTGTGAAGATTAAAGATTTCTCCAGGCCTATTGTTTCTCATTTCACCTCTGACAGCCATGATCACATTATTCTCTCTGTCTGTGTTCTCAAAGATGGGTTTCCTAACTCCCACATCAGAAAGACTACAGAAACTAAAATTATCCTGCAGCTAGGATCACACCTACCTTTACCATTACCTTTCTCTCAAGGACAGACTCATTTTCTTCTAAATTCTGTCTATTCATTGTAGGTTTTATTTCACACCTCTCTTCACACCACCTGATTGGCCACTCTGTCTGTCCCCTGCTCCCGCCTCCCGCCCTCCTCTCTCCCAGCCTTTGTTCCCCTGTACTACATTTTCTTTGCTTACTGCCCTGTCTTTCTCACACCTGAAGAAGGCTCCACGGCAGAAACGTTGTGTTTTCTTTCTTCTCTTTTCAGCATGGAATAAACCTATTACTTGTTCCTTTACACTGGTATAGTCCAATATACTTTGCTGAGGTTCAAAGCTGAAGTTACTGTTATAAAAAATGGCCACTTGTCTTCTCTACAGAACTAACAGTGGAAACTCTGTGACATCCTCCCTTTTCTGTTCCCCTCCAGGCCTTTCTCCGGGCTCTCCTGTGTGGAGCTTTGCACTCACACTCTTCATGTAAATCCACAAGAGCCTTTAATTCCCTTTGGTGTGAACCTGGTATGAAACTAACACATGCCAGGGCACACATTGAGAACATAGAGTAGCTGGGTTTCCAGAACTGCAGCACTGTACGTCTCCACATGTTCCCCAAGCTCTTGTACACAGAGTCAGGGTTGGTGTTCTTTCGTTCGGTGCAGGGCTGCTGTCTGTCTGCTGTCACTCAAGAGCTGCTAGAGCAGCTCCTGTTCTTCACATCTCCTGGTGCGATGGAGGCGCCTGTAGTGGGTGTCAGTGCACCCGCTGCAAGTGACACCAGACAAACAGCAGCTCTGATGAGACCCCGCTACTTCACTGAGTCTGATTTAGCACCTTGAAAGTAAGCGCATTCGTATCTCAACTCTGGAGCTGAAAAACCGCGAACAAGCCCTACGCACACGTCGCTCGCACAGCTGTGCTGCTGAAGGAACGTGGGCTCTTTTAGATGCTCTTCATACAATCCCGGGGGCTGTCGGGCGTGTCTAACATTCGAGTTTTCGTCTCCTTGGCAGAGATCGGGGACCTGAGGGACCTGGAGACTCTGGACGTGTCCATGAACTGCCTGAGCGCCCTGCCGGAGAGGCTGCACCAGTGCTTGTCCCTGCAGTGCCTGACCGCCGACCGCAACAGCCTGCGCTGCTTCCCTCGCCAGCTCTGCCAGCTGCACAGCCTCAACGAGCTCTCCATGGCGGGCAACTGCCTGGCCTTCCTGCCCCTGGGTGAGTGGCCGGCCCTTCCCTGACTCCCCACCTCCCACTCCAGGCCCATGGGAGAACATCAGTGCAGGGCTACCCAGAGCACCTTACCCCTTGAGTTTCCCTGAAGTGCTCCTCTGTTTTAAAGGTGGGACTCTGAGCTGCTGAGCACATCTCCGTCAATGCTCAGTACCACTTGGTTAAAGGAAAAGGCACCCAATCTCCTGATTGTTTTAATGGGCGCACTATCATTTCAAAACACATGGGGAAGGGAGCGTCTATCCACAGAAATGTAGTGATATACAGCCATATCACCCTGCAAATCGCAACTGGCAACCCACTGAAGCTCAGCAGGTGTGAGCCTGGTCAGTACCTGGATGGGAGACTCCTGGGAAAGCTAAGGATGCTGCTGGAAGAGGTGTTAGTGGGGCCAGCAGGGGGCGCTCACCCTGCGGCCTGCGTGGGTCCTAATGCCTCAGTATAGTGATGGGGACACAATACTGTAAAAAGAGGCCGTCCTTCAGATGAGATGGTCGACCGAGGTCCTGACTCCCTGTGGTCATTAAAAATTCCAGGGCATTTCTCTAAAAGAGTAGGGGTCAGATTCTGGCCTGGCCAAATTTCCCCCTGGCCTTTACCCATCATGGCCTCCTAATAATCCCCATCAATGAACTGGCTTCATCACGCTGCTCTCCTCCCCACAGAGAGCTGATGTGTGGTGAGCGTTCTGGAGCACTCTGGCTGCTGCCACATCATCCAGGTTTGGCTGCAGACACTAAGGCCCATCGTGCTTCTGTATGTGGGCCGGAGCTGACCCGGCAGAACCTCTTTTTCAGAGAAGATAAATGGCCCCAGATGCACTTCTGAGAAGTGGTGAAGTTTCGCAATGAGTTTCATGCAAGATCAGATTCCAGAATCTGATGAATCAAGTTGAAGTTGCTGCTGTGGTTAATTGATACCTTTTGTTCACAAAGCTCAATAGGTGTTCTAACATGTTTACATGCAGATATACATCCAATATGCCAGGACTGGGCACACAGAGCACCCAGATCCATGTGAAATGGGGTACAGCCCAGGCGCCCCCCAAAAAATCAGGATTTCGACGAGTCATGTCTCGGTGGTGTGTTTTTTTCCCCAATGGTTTTGATTAAAACTCGTTTTTTTTTAGCGCACTTCCATTTCGGATCTGGAAAACAAATCTTGTATTGCACACAGCCCTGGGTCCTGGCTGAAGACTGGGTACAGTCTGTATTTATCTAGGGAAGGAAAGCTGTGGAAACATGTGCCCTGAAAAAGCTGGTGTGATGCAGTACTGTATGTTCAGTAAAAGTACCAAACTTATCACGCTTGTATTTAGTTCATGTCTTTCAGATAGAAAGGCCCCCATTAGGCTATGATGAGGTAATAGATAACAATAAGAGAAGAAAATGTGGGGTTATTTATTATTGAGGTTGTCAGGTTGCCTGTCTGCACTAAAAACGTTAAGGATGTTTTAAGAAGAGCTTTTGGCAGAGCTATTTATTTTTCTCCCAGAAATGTAAATAGGACAGATGCTTTTTTTTTGGTCAAACTTGATCTCGTTAAAGGAACCATTATGGAAATAATCTATAGATGACTTATACGGTAGGTTTCTGTAAATGTTCCAATTCTACAGAGTAGGATACATTTTCATTGAAACCTTTAGGTTATTTTTATAAGGGTATTCTTTTTTATAAAAGAAAGAAGAGAATTAAGATCAAAAGCTTGAGGAGCAGCTCTGCTCCATAGGTTTTCCAGCATTGACTCCCTGCCAAACATTTGGAACTAATTTCCCACCGATTGGAATGGAAAATTGGAGAATAGGGACGTAACTCATGGACACTGAGGGAAAACAATAAGAGGATCAAGTTGGTGGAAAAAAATAACAACTCGCCAGCTAGCTTCGACAATAGAAGTGTTCTGAAGGTACAGTGCGTGGGGGGACATGAGGAAGATTAACGTATACATGATTTTGAAATTAGTTTTGTTTCTTTTGCATTAGCTCCACAGTACGATAACGTTAACCTCCTAGACCACATAGAATTTCAAAGTGTTCTCCTTTTATGTATCACTAAAAACCTTCCTAGTGAGAAACCATCAAAAGTGCACACATCTCCAGCTTATTTTGTCCATGAGTCAGTAAGTGGCTCCAGTCTTGGATTTAAGTAGCAGAATCTGCCTTTGGGCAGAGATGAGAGTGAATCCTGTAATGGAGGTATTTATAGGGTTTAAACAAAATGAATACAATCTGTCAGAAGCTGTTTTTAGTTACATTTTTAGCATGCAAATGTTTTTTTTTTTTAAGGAAGGACACGTCTGCACAGCTGCCTTCGAGTGTTTGGTGAATCTCATGTCCTGATAAGTGCTCCATGAGCTACCCCCTTTCTACCCTGCGTTGCCGTCACACATTTTTGTGCCACCCTTTTTTGTCAGATGTGCTGCAGATGAGGGTGATTTGGGGAAAGGTCTTATTGATTCCTATGGTGGGCTTTCAGTTTGTTTTCACATAGGCCCTCTAGGCAACTAGACGTGACTTATTAGATATCCGTCTGCATATGGCAGGAGCGTGATTGGTCAGTCCTGTAGTATACATTACAGGACTGTATCTCTACCACTCTTTTGCAACAAAATACCAGTTAGATAACATCTGTTGCAGAAATTACATTTCTTTCCATATTCCTATCCACTTCATATTTGTTGCTATTTGCTGTTTTGTGATTCAGAAACTTCTCAGTCACAGTGCTGATGAGCAGGACAGGCAATAAATGTGCCCTGGGATTGGGTGGGCCGTGAGCTGACCCGGGTGTCCCTATTATACACTAGTCTCTGGGACTGGGACACCTATGACCTTGCATTATTCTCCTGTAGGACACTGTGCCAAATGATGCATGTCCTGACACCAGAGTTGTTGGAGGAGAGGGTTCACAGTCCTCATTCCTTGTCTCTAAGATGGTATGGAGCCCTTGCTGCTGAGCTGAGCTGAGCTGATTAACAAACAAAGAGAAACCTAATTGGCAGTGCCAAACCTTTGAGAAGAAAAACAAAATATCTCACAGTTATTTAAAGATCCTCATATTTTTAAACATGCCTCTCACAAGGATAATCTTCTAATAGCCGTGGGTTGATTGCAGTTCTTATTTAAAATAATCTTCCAATCTTTTTTGATTGGTATGTTTCTTGGTTCCAGTTCAGGGTATATGCCAGCTGCTTAAATATCCTGCAAAAACATTCCTTTCAGAGGGAATCAGTGTTGGCACAAATCATCCTGGGGTTTTACTCGTTAAGTTAAATAGGATTTTTATTTTTTTCATGTTTCTGAATTAAAGTTAAATCCCATCTGAGCGAGTTAGACATAAAACTCAAAAGACATTTTATGTCAAACACTTCCAGTAGAAACGCCCATCTTTTTTTTTTTCAATTAATCAGAGACATCTATTTAATTATCTCAGGGTTCAAAAAGGTTGACAGCTGCAAAAGGCAAAGTAGATAACCTTTGAGGGGAGATTTAAAAAAAAGGGTAATGCTTTTGAATTTTCCTTCTTTTCTCTTGTGAAGTTTAATGAGTAGATTCCACGTTGCACACTGAAAGAGCACAGGCCTGCTTTTGAACCAGCTTCAAACAATAGCACCGCGGACAACACTGCACGTTTTGTTCTGTGCCAGCCATGTGGATGGCACATGCTAATGCTATGCTGTAAGGAGCAGAATCGGTGTTTGTTAGGGATTTAGTAGCTTCTGGTCATTCCCTGGAGCAAGCCTTTGATCTGGAGAATCTGAAGGAGGCAAATGGAAATGTTTCAGACACAGCAGCGCTCTTGAAAGTAGCCACATGAAAAGCGCCTTTGTGGCATCGTGCTAGTCTTCCACAGATGGACAACTTCCTTCAGCTATAAAACCCACCCCAGCCAGATGTGATGCGCAGCATCGTGAGAGCAGAAAGGCCTGACGTTTCACTCTGAACCTGCTAATGAGCAGATTCTTTCTCCATGTGCACGGCGATTATTCACAAGAATGCTTAAGGATTGTCCATCTTGCTGACATCTTGCTCATCTCTTATTGAGCCGCCTTTTCTCTCTCTCCACTGTTAAGGATCTTGCACTTCCTCGTCAGAGAATGTTTCAAATTTGGTTCTTGGTGACACTGGTTTTGCAAGATTTGTGTTGTAGGTCTCTTCCAATGGTCACCCTACTTTACACCTGAGAAAGGGAGTAAGGGCAAAGGTTTTTTTTACAAGTATGTTCATGTTTCACGAAGTATGTTCATCTAAAGGATATGTGTAAAATCTTTGCAGAATGCTAAAACAGGTACCCTGAAGGCAGATTTCATGGCTACCTTTTATAAATCAAATGGTATTTTCCTCTGCCAGGACAAGGTAAAGTACCTCCAGGTATCCCCCCAGACTTGAAGGAATGTTCTATACTGACTGGTGAAATTCACGGAATGTTTTTAGACTTGAACAGAGAAATCTACTGGGGGGACTTAATTCAAGTATTTTAAATGCTCAGAAGTATTGACTGGCAACCCAGTGGACTTCATCAGGACCAACAGTGAAATACAAACCTAAGGACACAAGCTGAAACTAAATCCTGATTTCTGCTGCTGGGCTTGCGTTCAATAGCTCAACTTTAACAAAATAATGAAGCGCTTTTTCCAGCCATGGGAAAGGTTCACGTTCTGTGGTAAAATTAAACCCAAAAGAGGGTTTATGGGACAGTACTATGGTACCTTTTTAAAAAAAAGCTGTGATAAGAAAGTGCATAGAAAATCTGGGCCCTATCGGTAGATACTGAAAGTGGGCTGGAAGTTGCTTCAGTTTTTATTTCAATGTTAAGTTATAAGCTTCAGTAACATATTCGCTTTACTTTCTGAAGTGCTTGCTAAATAAAAATAAGTGATGTCTGTTAAATATACTTTATATTTTATACATATCACCGTATAAACATATACATGTAACTTTATTGACTGCTCAATATAATACTTTTTTTCTGTGGATCACTACTATGTGT